ATGACCAACTCTTTAAAAAATAACTTCTTCCACTTGGTTCTTCTGAAAACTGAAGTTGGCCACAAAAAGAAACACAAAGTTTTCATTCCAAGGGATCAAAAGAGTCATTTTGTACCAGGAATCCTCATTTCCAGGAATAAAGCCACATAGCCCAATATTTGCAGGAGAAAATAAAGAAGGAGACTATGTGGACTCCAAATAAAATCTCTGGTGGCTTGATTTTCCAGCCTCGCCAGATTAATGCTCTTAACATTTTACCCAGGGCACCACTTTAACTTAAATACCAGCTTCCTGCTGTGAACAGTAACACGCTTACCAATGAGTAAAAATCAAATGCATTGGAGCACTTTGCACGGGCATTCTTTGCTACATCCTGAGCACTAGATCTCATAAGACAGGATGATCTTGAGAAATGCAGCTTCAGTCCAGTCTGTGTCTTCCATAATTACAGTTGGGACAAATAAAGCTACAAACCCATGCATTTATTGCAGTCATCATACTGAAATGAAAGTTTAAGTGAAGAAAAGAGAAGAGGAAACACACCCCAACCTTACTTAAGTATCACAACAATCAACTTGCTTTAAAATGATCAGCTGGGGTTCTGTGACAATCAGTCAAAAGTTCCTGAATGTCTATTTCACAGGAGTACCAAGCTAAGTCTATAGTCAGAATAGTGCAGAGAAATATTCCCCAAGTAACCATTATTCTAATGGTTATGTGTTTAATTTTCTTTAACTTTTTACAGAAAAAAAAGAAAGTATCATGTATGTAAATTACAAAGCCTAAAAATAAAAGCAGTACCAGGAACCTATCACTCAATTCAAGAATGAAAATACCACTAATTCTATATCATCTTTCTACCTTATATCCAAGTCCCTGCCAAACACACACACACACACACACACACACACACACACCCCAACATACATATACATTCACACATGCACATTCATATACATACATACAAATACACACAGAGACAAATCATCACCTAACTCTGATTTTCAATACAAGCATGATTACATCTTTAAGATTATACCTCCCATCCTTAAAGTAAGATGGCTTTCCAAATATGGCAACAACATATTGTTACCTTTTAAAAGTTATGTCTTAAAGATTGTAAGTGTTGTTTTAAGGTAAATTGTTTAAAATTAAAAGCAAACTGCTTTTAAAACTAGTATGTTTGGTCAAAGAGATATTAAAGGGAGGAAGGGACTTGTCTCTGCATACACCTGACTCAGCTGGGCACCACCTATGGTTACCCAAGTATCACTAGGAGTGAACCCTGATCAGAGGACCAGGAATAGCACTGAACATCACCAGGTGTGGCCCAAACTCTCCCCCAAAACTAAATAACAGACTAGCAAAACTTAGCTACAAATAACTCATGAAGGCAATGAGTGTGTGAATAATGACGGTTGGCATAAATTGGCAAAGAGGCTAAGAGAAGGGACCAGAGAGTTAGTACAGTAGGTAAAGCACTTGCCTCATACTTGGCCAATCTATGTTTGATCCTTGACACCCAATGTGGTCCCCAGAGCCCACCAAGGATGATCCCTGAATGCAGAACTAGAAATAAAGCCTAAGTACCGCCAAGTATGGCTTCCTCCCAAAAACAAAACAAAACAAAAAAGTGTCTAAGAACATAAATCCTTGAGTACCCAGACTTCCTGGTTCAAAACCCCTCACTTCATCATTGACTACATCTTTGGGCCACTCACTCATGTTTGCCAAGCTTCATTTTCTTATTGTGAGACAGTAAGAGAATAAAATACATTTTACGAAAATAAAATAAAGTATATGTGAGGAGCTAAGCACACAGGACCAGGCACAGTCCTCCACACCCCAAATTCATCCAAATCATAGCAAAAGGTTTTGTCACTATCTCAAGTTCACTTTTCCATATCTCTCGGAGATATATGGTAGACGTCTTCATTTAAAAATAATCAAGATGCAGGGATCCAACAGCAGAAAAAGCACAGCGGACAGCTCCCAGTCTCACCTCCTTTATGTCCCAAGTACCACAGAGAAGTATTGATTCTACCTTTTACCCCTTTGACCTTGAATAGTAGAATCCTTTTTCACATCTATTTCTGCCTTGTCCCTCCCACCGTCCAAAGATCAATCCAACCTTGCCTAGAAAGACCATCATGGTCATCAGAGGACGACCATCTCATTGTCACCACCACATAATCCCTATACCCTGATTTTTAAGTAATGCTGTAACAATTTTTTTAAAGCTTAACATAATGGTTACATCTAACTTTTCTGCAAAAGAGAAAATAAAACTGTCATAATACCTGCAATAATCATGTGGTGCAATATTGTAGATTACTGCAATCTAAGGTAGACCCTCTAGTCTGTATTTACCAATTCAGTCACTGGTATCTGTTCCTTGAAAAGACGCAGCAAATCTGGTAAATCTCTACTTTACAAAAATCACAATGTTGCCAAATGTAATTAAGTTCCTCACTTGTGAAATCAATTGCATTTCTTGAATATAGCTATTCCTCCTTTACTCCAAATGCTTCATACTCTTTCAACATTCTTAGAGCTAACAAGAAACTCAGATTCAAATAACCACACTCTTCCAAGGCACAAAAGTTCTAAATCAACTACCTAAATCACAATTAATGTAAAACCTCTCTCTCCCCATTTCAAGTTAAAATCACCTATAAGACCAGAAAGGAACATAAATCTAATCTTTGTTCATCCCGGCCCTTCATGCCTTGTTACCCATAATTTATCTCAAAATCACTCAGTGCCTTTGAACATTTGGCATGAGAGGTAGCAGTATAACAGCTATGGTCCAGTATGCAATTCCATCAACTTAAGGCATCAACTTTAACTTCCCTTTTTAAACACTGGGACAGAAGACAAAGACAAGGGAATCCCCACCAAAGAGATGTGCTCTCTGAGGCAGAGTGAGCCAAGTGCTGACCAGGCCTTGGAGAAAAGCTTCATCCCCATCCCATCTGTAAGATGGGTGAGGAGGGTGTCTCCTACTGAAGCAGACTAGAAAGAAGGCTAATGGCAAAGCCAGCGGCTGAGGTCAGCACGAGTCTAGTGTCTGCGGGCTGCCCAAGCTGGGCCCCCAGCCAGCCAGCCAGCCGCCCACCTCCAGAGAGACAAGTGCCAGGACATACTATAGTGTTTCCATTTAAGGCCCGCCACTCGGATCTGCCCAACTCAGAAACGTCTTAACACCACCTTTCCAGGAAGAAGTTTTTGGGGGATTTGGGGGAGGTGGTGGTAGGAGGTAGCTATTTTTTGCCACCGCCTTCCCCTTGGGCTGTCAAAGCAGTCTGAATCTCTGGGACAAGAGTCTTTAAAACCTCCGGGTTATGTCTCAGTGTAAGGACCTCTTTTCAAATATATACAAAACATGCGTGGGATTTTTTTTATCATCCAGTGAATTTTCATCACACACACAGACACCTCGAAAACGGAACACAAGAAAACCGGGATAAATTTAACAAATCCATTGTATTCCTTGGTTCTTCTCCCCAAAAGCTAAACTAAGGACAACTTTTTAAATAGGACTTTCCTTCTGCTACCAAGTGGAATATTTTCTTCCCTAAAAAAGCTTCCTCTCCAATTTCTCTCCCATGCCTTCAAAGCTCCCGGGGAGGAAGGGGGGGGGGGGGCGGGAGAGAGGTTGGTGACCCTTAGCTAGCACAAACTGGACAGCTAAGGGGGGGGTCTTGAACCAGATTCCCTCGGGGTGTTTGGAGGCGTACAGCTCTCCTTCAGCGCCCCCCTGGTTGGAGGCTCACTGTTTGGGTTCCAGCGTTGAAGGAAGGGTTTTAAACTTGGCAAAGTACCGTGCAACATCTGTAACCACATTTGCCTTCTGGGGATCGGAAGATGAATCCCACATTCCTGGCTTTGAAGCTTTTTGAAACTGCAGCTAGGAAGAACGGAGGGAGGAGGGAGTTGAGCAGAGTTTATTGGCTGTCTCGCTCGCTCTCGCTCTCTCTCTCCAGCAGAAAATTCCTCTTGGAAGAGACGGGATATTTTGAGGGTGGGGGTGATCCGCTCCATCCCTTTACTCTCGACCAGACTCAGCCAGGAAGGTGAGCCTCGGGGCCCGGCACTGGTTCAGATCGATTTCCAAGTCAGAAGTGCACACCCTAAAGGAGTTCACCGCGTACACACACACAGACACAGACACACACAGACACAGACACACAGACACACAGGGAACCAGGGACACCCCCCCCCATCACCGCCGCCACTCCAACCCTCCTGCCCTCTCCCATATCCCACCAGCAGTTCAGGCCCACAGCAAGACAGTTGTGCTCGAAGGCTGCTCCCCCCCCCACCCCCCGCACTCGAGCGTGGATCCAACGGAGGGTAGAAAGGAATGAAAGCGAGGGGGTGGCACCCGGACGCCCACCCTCCCCGGCGCCCGACTCTTCCCGGGCGCAGCGCCCTCCTCCTCCCTCCGTCCTCCCGGCTCGGGCCGACGCGGCCGGCGACCTGCCCTCACCTCTGGTCCCGCGGCGGCCGGGGGCTGAGCCGAGGGAGGCGGAGTGCGAGCCGGCCGGGCGCTGCAGGTCGGCGCGGGGCGGGGCGGGGCGGCGCAGCCGGCGAGGGAGCCCGGAACTCTGCGGGGCCGAGGGCGGGCAGCCGGCCCCGAGCGGCGGCCGCAGCGGAGCGCTGCGTGGGGCCAGGGGCTTCCCAGCTCCCCGGCCGGCGCGGAGGGCCAAGGAAGGAGCAGCAGGCTGGCAGCGGCGGCGGCGGCGGCGGCAGCCACCCCGGGGAAAGAGCCGGGGGAGGGAGGGGAGGCGGAGTGAAGAGGAGGAGGAGGTGGAGATGGGAGAGGAGGAGGAGGAGGAGGAGGAGGAAGGGAAGGAGGGCGGGCGGAATAAACTTCCCGAGGCGCCGCAGCTCGGGCTGGAAGGACGGCTGCGGGCGGGGCGGGCGGACCGGGTCGGGGGCTGGATCAGGGAAGGGAGGGGGCGGGGGCGGGGGGGACTGCCGGCCGGGCGGGAGGAGGCGTTGGGTGGGGGAGGCGGTCACAGAGAGTAGAAAAGTTCCCCCAGCGCGGAGGGGGGAGGCTGCGGCGGCGGCGGCGGCGGCGGCGGCAGCGGCGGCTGCAAAGCGCAGGAGCCGGAGCGGGAGGAGCGGGAGGAGGAGGAGGAGGAAGTGGCTGCGGAGCGCTCGGCCAATGAGTGTCTGGAGCTGTGATTAACCAGGCAGCAACACATCATTTCCTCCCGGCGCCGATCCAGGGAGCCGGGAGGGAGAGGGAAGGCGGCGGGGCGGGGCCGTCCCCCGCGCCCCCTGCAGGCGCCCCGGCCGGGGGCGAGCCCGCCGAGCCCCGCCGAGCCTGACCGTGCCGCCCCCGGCGCGCCCCGCGCCGTCTGGCTCGGCCCGGGAGGCTGCGGGCGGGGAGGCGGCGGGCCGGGCCGGGCGCTCGCGGCCGGGGTGGGAGGAGGAGAGGCGGCGCGGCGCGGGTGAGTGCCCAGGTAGGCGCGGGCGGGGCCGTCTGGACAGCTCCAGGAGGCGCGCGGGGCGGGGGCGGGCGGCGGGGCTGCCTCCCGGGCCCCGGGATTGCGGGCGGCGCACGGCTCGGAGTCCCGCGGGCCAGACTCGGGCTGCCTTCTCAGACAGAACCCGGTGCCTTTGCACTCCGACCGTTTTCGGACCTGCTTCGGATCCCCCTTCCACTTTGCTTCTTTTCCTTGCAAAGTCTGGGATCACGCAGCTTGAACCATTTTTCTCAGTCGGCCCCCTTAGTAATAAAAAAAATATGCAGGGCGGGCAGGGGTCGGGGGAGGAGCTGCAGATTCTGCAGTGATCTAGCCCTGTCCTAGGCGCCATGGGAGTTTACAATGGAAAAGGGGGAACATTCCCCCGCCGCAGAGAGGCCAACAACCGTAGATAGCAAAAAAAAAAAAAAAAAAAAACGCTCCCGTGCGCTGCTAATATTATCCAGAGTATCAAAAAAAGGCATGCAAGGATCAAATTTTGCATGGTGCCTGCTGAGTGTAAGGAAAGCACCAAGCCATTTTCTCTGCCCTCTGGAAGCTTATAATGTACAGTCCTATCACAAAGCAGAAATAAAAGCGTGAAACCAATAAACGGGAATACCATAAAGCATTTTTATCTCTACAGGTTCATTCAAACAGCAGCAGGCATTTATTGGGTAACTGCAGCACTGCAAAAGGTTGCAAAAGAAATGAAGATCTGGTCCCTGCAGGTCAGGAGTTTACAATCTAATTAAAAATACAAAGCAGAGATACATGAAACAACTGGAGAATAATTCCTAGGTGGCACATAAGCAAGGAGATGGAGAAGACTACGGCTTTTCATATATACATATGTAAGGGAAAGGTTTTGTACCTGTGTGGTTGGTAAGGACCAGGAGAAATTCCAGACCAAATTAAATAGATGTATCCTAGCTCCATAGGACAATGCTATTGGGATCTCAGAGCTGTTACTTGGCTGATGTTTTTTGTTCAGTTTTTTGATTGGGAGTTATACACAGCACTGCTCAGGTCATACTCCTGGCTCTGTGCTCCTCGATCACTCCTGGAAGAGGTAGGAGGACCAAATACTGTGCTGGGTCTAGAACCCAGGTCAGCTGTGTGCAAGCCAAATTCTTTATCTGCTGTACTGTCTCTCCACCGCTTGGCTGAAGTTTTAGCACTGCCATTTACAAAGTGTGACCTTGGGCCCATTTTTTAAACTGTCTGAAAAGGGTACATAGCCTACCCTGAGAGATATGTTCTGTGGTTCAAATGAGATTGATTATACATATGTGTAAGCTTTTCAAGCTGCTGTGTAAATGTTTCTCAATAATGTACATTTGCTAATCTTCGTACACTGGCCTCTTTTCAATAATCTTTATAGTTCCCTCCAATAAGCTCTATGAAGACAGACACAGGATTTGGTTGTTTTTCCCATGTATCATCACACCTGCCTTGGACATTCTCAAAGGTTTGCTAAGTGAGTAAATGAACTAATGAATCCTATCATGCTTTTAAGTGTTTCATATATCTATCTGTTCTTTCAGTAGCAGCCTTATTGTGTGGCGGGCTCAATGCAAAACTGAAATCTTCTCTCCCTGTGACTAACTTGCTAGACTACATCTAGGAAGACTACATCTGTGTCTGGGTAGTTTTTATAACCCTGATTCTGACTGGTGTGGGAGCTGGGGGGTGGGGGGGGGATTGTGTGTGTGTGTGTGTGTATGTGTGTATGAACTTTGGCATTAATGACGTCTTTGACTGGATAATTGTATGGTGCTATCCTTTGCATTATAAAATGTTTAGCAGCATCCTTGACTTCTGTCCATTAGATGCCATTAAGACATCTTTGCACAGTTATGACAATCAGAATATCTCCAGATGTTGCTAAATATTTCCAGGGGAGGAACTTGATCCACTTTTTGAAGAGCACTGCCTTACCCCAGCATCTTACCCACTGATTTAATTCTGGAAGAAAATCACACCAGGAAAGTAACTTGGAGGAAATACATCTTCTGTCATTGTAAGATTATCAGATCTCCTCAATCGTATGTTTCAAGGAGCACGACTCTTGTTAATTAATTGCCTGCTGCATTGTGAATTGGCATCTCTTCTGTTTTCTGCATATCCTCCTCCTTTACGCCCAGATCAACATGTTCATTTCTAAAAGTCAACAGCTTTCAAAAACTATTAGGAAACTAGATCTTGAGCAATGTATGAGTCCTGTATAATATTTTCCTATAAAATTTAGGGAATTTATTCCATACAATTTTCCAGAAAGCTTCCTCTTATGGTTAAGCTCTTAAGCTTACCAACAAAAACCACAGCTATTCTGTCCTCAGATGATGAGTGATATAAAATGTAGATTGTAACTTTTATAAATTGCTTCATTGTATGCTTTCTTTCATCTTGAAAATATTTCTTTTTGGCTACAGAGTTTTGTTTTTCATAATAGGATAAGAAAACATAATTAAAACCTACAAAGCAAAATTCAGTTTACTGATCAATTTATTTAAAACTTCCAGAAGCAAATTTTTGTTTTGTTTTGGTTTGGTTTGGGGGCTACACCTGGCAATGCTCACGGGTTACTCCTGGCTCTGCACTCCGGAATTACTCCTGGGTGTACTCAGAGAAACTTGTGGAATCCCACGGATCTAATCTGGGTCAGCCACATTCAAAGCAAGTACCCAATCCGCTCTACTATCTCTCTAGCCCCAGAAGCAAATATTTTTTTTAAATGGTGGGATATTTGAAAGCTGGAGGTGTTGGTAAATATTAATATATTAAAAGCTGCTGTACTGCAGTTCAGTCTCTAAAGTTTTCTTGAAGAAAAACTAAATATTAACATTTGAAAAAAAATGAATCAATTCTGATAAGTCTGTTCCATTGGTATAGGCACAGTGAACCCAAAAACCTTACTCCTAGGAAGCAATCGTACCCGGTTTACAATATGAGCAGGCATTTCTGTTCAACAAAATATACCATCTGTCTCTAAAATAGTTACTTGAAACTTATTTCATAATTTAGCCCATGTTTAGTTTTGGTTGTATAGCTATATAATGATTATTAGCATATGGAGATGAGTTTTCTAGTTTGGTAGTTGTCCTCACTGGGTGAAGACTGGGTATACATCCAAATTACTTAGAAAAGGGTCAAATTACTTAGAAAAGGAGAGTAGAAACAAGGGCCAGGAGGACTGGTCCACTGTTGGAAGATTGTCACAAGTAGAGTTTGTTGGGGGTGGTAGAGGGGAGTTAGGCTATAGAAGGGGCCACTATGACAGTGATAGTTGGAAACTGTCACTCGGGACGAGAACTGAGTGCTGAAAGTAGGTAAAAGGACAAACATGATAATCTTTTAGTACCTGTACCGCAAAACAAAATGTCCAAAAGGAAAGAGAGACAAAGACAGAAACAGAGAGAGAGACAGAGAGAAGTAAAAGGGCCCGCCATAGATACAGGCTGGAGGCAGGGGTTGATGTTGGGAAGGAGACTGGGGACATGGTGGGTGGGAAATGTCCACTGGTGAAGGGACTTTTGTTGATACACTGTATTACTGAAACCCAATTGCTAAAACGTTTGTAACTGTGTATCTCACTGTGATTCAATTTTTTTAAAAAAAATAGATTTTTCAGGGGGTATTCAGTTATTTTCTGTTTTGTTTGTTATAAATGGGGTCAGTAGACCAAATATGTTTGGAAGCATCTATCTTAATCTCCAGATTCTCTGAAATTTTTGCTTCTGCTCAGGTACAATTTTTTTAAAATAAATCACTAGATTAAAGAAATCTGCATATGTTTGCCTTATAACCATGATTTTATTACCCTCATCTGCTGTCCACCTGTAGGAATATGCCATTTATTTAACCGATATTTTAATGAAAGATCAAAGACAAGGGATTGGTAGTACAGTTCAGTGATAGAACACTTTTTCATGTAGGAGGCCTTCAGTTTGTTCCTAGCACCATAAAAAAATAAACAATAATTTCTCACAGAATGCCCATGGCGATTTATTTTTCTTCTAAGGGTTTCTCTGTATTATTAAAATGTGAGAAATGCAAACCCCATTGTATCATAACCATTCTTGGGGATTAATGAATTGAAAGGATTCTAATCCCATTATTCGGAGCAGAAGAGAGAGCTGTGTAAGATGCCTGCCTCATGTGTTTGACCCAGTTAGATCCCAGGCACCACATATAACACCCCCCACTACCCCCCAACAACCCTGTACTGCCAAGGGTGATCCATTAGCACACAGCCAGGAGTAGCCCCAAGCACTTCTGAATGTGTCCCAAACTCCACTCCTGAAAACAATATAATGTGTGAAGAATCAGTGTCTGGATCAGAATAGTAAGCAGGAGGTGGAAAAGAAAAGCTTAAGCTAAGAAGGTCACTAAATTACTATCGGGCTTCACTTCCTTTTCCCCAAAAGGTAAACATTTAACCAGTCTGGGCAGACACTTGTTTATCTTCCAGTTAAACTTTCCCAGTTTCCCAATGACTCATTAATTGTTCGTTTTATACAAGAGGTTATTGAACATCTACCATATGCAGGGGACAGGGGAGTTCCACAGGGAGACCTCATGCTGCCAGAACTTCCTCCCAGGTGGGGAAATCCATCTAACTACTCAGGGCACAGAGGTCATCAGAAACCAAGTGCCACCATGGGCCAACCTGGTGATAGAAGAGGCATTACAAAATCGTTGCAGACTCAAGAGATTATTCATTAAACACTTGGGGGGAAATCCTGTGAGTGCTCCCTCCCCCAACCACTCCTAAAAATATTTCCAGAAAAAGAAATTAGTTATTTAATTATAAGTCAACTCACATCAAATATACATAACTGTTTTGTTGGAAAAAGGAGGTTTTCTTTAAAGCTATAAAAAGGCTGGAGACATAATTTAGTGGGTAGGGAGCTTGCCTTGCACAAAGCTCACTCATGTTTTGATTCCCTTGCACCATAAAAGGTCCCTGTGACTGCCAGGAATGACCCCTGATCACAGAGCCAGGAGTAAGTCCTGGGCCAACCAGGGTGTGTTCTAGAAAATGAAACCAATTTTAAAAGGTGATTGGACTTGCTTATGCAAAATGTTCCCTAAAATTTTGTCTTATTTTGTTTTATTAAATTTTATTTAAAAGTTTTGTTTGGGGGCCCATGTGATTGTACAGCGGGTAGGGTATTTGCCTTGCACGCAGCTGACCCAGGTTTGATCCCCGGCATCCCATATGGTCCCCCAAGCACCACCAGGAGTAATTCCTGAGTACAGAGCCAGGAGTAGCCCCTGAGCATTGCTGGGTATGACCCAAAAAGCAAAAAAAAAAAAAATTTGTTTTGTTTTTGCCACATTCAACAGTGCTGAGGGTTGCTCCTGTGGTGCTCATTTGTCAGAGTATCTTGCAGTGCCAAGGATCAAACCTGGGATTCTCGTGTGTGAAGCATGCACTCTGTCCCTATGAGCAATCTCTTCAGCCTATGTAAATTTCTTCTAAGTAAACAATCAAGTAAAGGGCCATGAAGGAAAGAATGGAATGAAGGAAAGGAAATACATTAAAAAAATGAGATCAACATTTTTTTTATTAGTGAAACACCATGAGGTACAGTTATAGATGTACAAATTTTTGTGCTTGGGTTTCAGTTATACAATGATCAAGTAACTATACCTCCACCAGTGCCCATTTTCCACCACCACAGGTCCCAGTATCCCTCCCACCCACCCCCATCCCACCCTGTCTCTGTGGCAGGGCATTCCCTTTTGTTCTCTCTCTCTCTCCTTTTGGGTGCTGTGGTTTGCAAGAGAGGCATTGAGTGGCAATCATGTTTGGTCTATAGTCTACTTTCAGCATGCTTCTCCCATCCTGGGAGGATCCTCCCAACACACTTTATTTGATGCTCCCTTCTCTATCTGAGCTCCCTTTTCCCCTAGCACGTGTGGCTGACCTCCAAGTCATGGAGCAAAATTCATGGTACTAATCTCGGCCACTCTTGGGTCTTAGTCTCCTATTTTGTTACTTTATGTTCCCCAGATGAATGCAATCTTTCTGTGTCTATTCCGCTCTTTCTGACTCATTTCGCTTAACATGATACTTCCCATGTAGTACCACTTGTATGTAAATTTCATGACTTCATCTTTTCTAACAGCTACATAGTACTCCATTGTGTAGATGTACCAAAGTTTCTTTAACCAGTCATCTGTTCTCAGGCACTCAGGTTTTTTCCAGATTCTGGCTATTGTAAAGAGTGCTGCAATGAACAAACAAGTGCAGATGTCACTTCAACTATACTTTTTTGCCTCTCTGGGATTTATTCCCAGGAGTGGTATTGCTGGGTCAAATGGGAGCTCAATTTCTATTTTTTTGAGAATCGTCCATACTGTTTTCCAAAAGGGTTGGACCAGTCGGCATTCCCACCAGCAGTGAAGGAGGGTCCCTTTCTCGCCACATCCGCGCCAGCACCAGTTGCTTTTGTTCTTTTGGATGTGGGCCAGTCTCTGTGGTGTGAAATGATATCTCTTTGTTGTTTTGATCTGCATCTCCCTAAATGATCAATGGTGTAGAGCATTTTCTCGTGTGCCTTTTAGCCATTCGGGTTTCTTCTTTGAGAAAGTTTCTGTTCATTTCCTCACCCCATTTTTTGATGAGGTTGGTTGTTTTCTTCTTGTGGAGTTCAACCAGTACCTTGTATATCCATGATATCGACCCCTTGGGATCAATATTTCACATAGTTAAACATTTTGGTAAGATTAACTTTATAAAGAACACTTACTTGCTGTGTATGGATATAAAATGGAAAATAATTTCCTAAAGGTAATTAGATGATATTTTTCAAACTTCTTAAAGATATTTATATGCTTTGACATCTTCGACACTTTATCCCTATTTCCGGAATTCATGCTATGAAAATTTGCAGTTTCATCAAGTTGCATAAAAAACAATCATCTACTAATTTGGAAATGCACACAATAATCCGTAAGTTAAAAACATGTTCAAAGTTTGCAATTCTATGACCCTTTTAAATACATGGATTCCTGATGGTCAAAGATAAAATAATTGGGTTGAAGAGATAGTAGAGCGGGAAGACTCTTACCTTGCATCAGCTGACCCAGGTTGCATTTCCAGCACTGCACATGGTCTGAGCACTACCAAGAATGATCCCTGAGTACAAAGCCTGGAGTAAGCCCTAAGCATAGCTGGGTGTCACCCAAAAACCAAACAAAGAAAGTCTAGAAGAAAATATTCCAGGATGTTTAATACTTATCTACGGATCAATCATGGACTATGATTGACTTTTCTTTATTCACACAACTTTTCAACTATTTGTTTCCATATTTTATAAACAAATCAATACAGATGTGCATGTATTTGAACAAGGTCTAATTAATCATAAAACCAAACCTAACTTGTGAAGGATTAACAAGTATTTATATTTGTGGAGTGGGAGGGAGGGGGTAGAGAATGGAACTCAAATTTGATTGTTGTGTATTCTTCCTGTAGATCCATTTCCTGGAGAATTCCACCATTTCTATATTCCCTGCCCATAACTCAGGTTCTCTGTGACCCATTCCTTTAAAGTCTGGCTCATTCATGGTCTTGTTCATATTCTGTCGCTCCTCGGGTTT